ATGGGGCAATAATGTCCGTTTTTACCCTTATTGAAAGTATTCAATTTTACATACAGCGAGATTCTACAGTATATGCTGCTTTCTTAGACAATGAAAAGGCTTTCGACAGAATATGGCAGGACGGCCTTTTTTATAAATTACACCAAATGGGTATCAGAGGAAATACATGGAAGTTATTACACCATAGCTATACAAATAGCCATTTCTTTTGTTACTTATCAGGGTGAACAGTCAGATATATACCATTAATGACCTTATAACAGCCCTTAGACAAGCAAATAGTGGTATTTGTGTATTTGGTCTAGATATTCCAACTGTTTTGCTTGCAGACGACACAACTCTTGTGAGCACCTCGCCGCGAGGGCTTCAAAAAGCACTTGATACAGTACATTCATATGCCTCAAAGTGGCGGCTAACGTATAACCTCTCAAAAAGTAATGTTGTTGTCTTCTCTAAGACAAAACAAAAGGGGTTAGATATTAACTGTAAACTTGGTGATATAAACATAACAACCTCTGACTCTGTCATGTATGGTGGCATACTACTAACGCATAACCTGTCATGTAAAGCAAGTATTGAAAAATGGTGCCAAAAAGCAAGACAAAGCATTAATTCGTTAAAATCTGTGGGACTCAACAGTTCTGAGCTACATCCAGCTACCAGTGTAAAAATCTGGTTAGGAATGATATTAAAAACATGTTTTTACGGCTGCGAACTGCTCTTTGATATTAAGGGTCAAAACATTAATGTCATTGAAAATACTCAACGCTATTTCGCGCGAACTGTACAAGGACTTGATAAAAGATCTCCATCAGAATCCACTATTGCTTATCTTGGGCTTTGGACAATGATCGGCTATATCGATAACTTCAGCTGCTTGGCCGCTTATGTAACTTAACCTGTAACAGTTTTGTTAAACAACTTTTTTGTGCATACATTGCAAATCCAACTTATCCTAAATCTGTATGTGGAGATTTATTATCAGTTCTTAACAAGTTTAACCTACGAAACAACCTTTGTACATATATAAGCTGTGGTGTATTTCCTACAAAGAGAAACTGGAAGCAACTGGTTAATAAAACCATTCATGAATATCAAGAAAATATGTGGCGCAGAGAAAGTTTCTGTCAATACAGGTCTTTCACGCTTCATGTTTATACACACAAAGCTTACTCACCATATAGTATGGCAACTAGCATATCTGTACCCAGAACAGAGGTCAAGTTTAAATTTTTTGTGTTAGAGTTTCATCACGAAACAAAACTCCATGGGACTGTTTATTGTGTAACAAGCATGCCTTTGATTATGATAATCACATCATATTACATTGTGAAGCTCTTCTTTTATTGATCTGCTTGATGTTGAAACCTATGTCCAGTTGGAATTACAAGACGAAGAAGATATGTTGTCATTTTTCTTTAGTGCTGATACTCACTTCTCACAATGTATTGATATAGTTACATGGGAATCTGTTATACTGATATTTTCTGCTTATCTACTTACACTAAAGCCTTACCTTGATTATGTCATCTGATCTTACCTTTTGTACTGTGTGAATGGCATAACACTGGTGCTACTGTCTTGTATTGTATATATGTACAGGTAATATGAGTTTGTGTGAATACGTTTTATTAATTATGTATAATCTTCGGATTAACTTCTGGAGGAAATAAAGGATCTCTCTCTCTCTCTCATAATCTTTTTTATTGCGCAGTCATATTACTGGAAAGTGATATTTTCTCAGTGCGAAATTGACAAAAAGTTCACCCGAAAGCTATGAACATACGATGCCATTTAGAAAGAGGTCATATGTAACAAATGTTATATAAAGCTGTCTACACGGAAAGGGTCATCTGACATAATATATGACCTCTTAAAGTTGTGACAGGTTTCTTAAATGGCGACAGAGCAAATATCGGAATTTCTTACTCTTGTTTATGAGTTTTTGGCTTTAAGTATGCAGTGTTTCGGTGACTGTTTTCAGACTATTAACGTTTTGATAACCTTTGTAAAAATTTAGTCAAATCCAATTTTCATGCGCATACGTTCCTTTACCTGGCAGTTTATCTATGTAGATGCCAGATCTTTGAAGGTAACTTAGAGTTGGTGTTGATACCAGCAGACTCCAGTTGAAGTCGCAATGCTCCTGCTGTTGTAAGCTGCCAGAATGACATACAGGTCTTAGCTTTAGTGGTTGATCTTGGTCTGATTGTACGCGGTCGATCCTTGACTTCTCAATGGACCTGGAACCTGTGCCACAGACAATGGATAACAGATGGTGCCTTTTGATCCGCCTGGCAACTTCTCTGATGGCTGGTCCATCTTATAGCCATGCGAAGGCCCCTCTCTGTCCACTTTGCTTAATGACAATTTTGGTGCCATGGTGGTTAAACCAATGCAATGACAGGATTCAGACGTGTAAATCTTTATACGTGTGTGCAGCATATCCACATACATCATGGAAAGCACGTGCATTGCTGGTTTGGGTGATGCTTTCCTCCTTATCCTGACACCGAACTTTGCAATTTGCCAAACATTGAACAAAAACTGTTCATGGGACCTGTCCCCCAAACACAACCAAACGTTTTGGCCAGTGAAAAGAAATAATGGATTTTTAGGTATCCACTGTTCGATATTACCTAGAACATTACATAGAAAGCATTACAAGAAACACAGCTACGTGAATGTAGTATGGTACAATATGTGGGTGTTTCACTTGTTTGAATAAGTATATATTTGCTTGAGCATATAAATCGTAACAGTAGTTCGATTTCGATTTCGTTCTTGACACACACTCTTCAGAAAAAAAGAAACACGCAGGACATAAGGAATATGTTGATTTTGTTTTCAATACAAATGCAATATGTTTTAACTGTTGTAGGGCAGGAATGCAACCTTTTAAAACTTTTGTAGCTTTTTACAGTATTTTTTGCCTAAGACTGTGCGAAATTAAAAGCAGAATGCACGTGCAAGTTGTGACAATCATGTGCAGTGACAATAAATATAAAAGGTCAAACGTCAGTCAACATTTTTACATCCCTTTGTCGACTGATTGGAAGTGGGAAAATGCCGAGCCTGAATGCTGACAATCTCTACATAGCAATAGGACGTCTTGAACGAACAATCAAGAATCATAAGCGAGAGGTGGGAATTAGACCCAGAAGACCGGTATTTGTCCCTGTATTGAGACGTTGACATCGACGATAATGTATGCGATGGAGCAACACCGTACAGGCATGGGCTCTGAGAAAATGGCGGCGAGTCTACTTCAGTGATAAATCCGGATTTCTTCTCCAACGTCGAGATGGACGACGGCGTGTCTACCGACGTCGACAGGTCCACAGAATCGGTGGCGTCGATGTGATGGTGTGGGGATCCTTATCCTACACACTGAGATGGTGGTTGTTCAAGGGAATCTGACAGCAAATCGGTACATCGACCAAATTCTTCAACGTCACTTTCTTCCGATCATCAACCAAGAGGGAGTTGTTTCAACACGACAACGCAACACCACACACAGCTCGTGTGTCACTCTTGACTTTCTTTATAATTCTAACGTCAATGTCTTGACATGGCCTCCCAGGTCTCCTGATCTTAACCAGATAGAGCATATGTGAGACGAAATTTAGAGCGCTATGCTCCCAAACGGGCACCGTCCATTGTACCCATCTGGGGTATGTAATTTCGAATACCTGGGGGATAAGTGAACGCTATTACCACTAGATTATCCCCTCCGACCCTTGTATGTTAGAGATTTCTTACTTTCACCCTCGGCGCTTCCCACACATTTATCCTTTAGTTATATGAAACATGGACATGAAAATAATCTAAGTAACATCAAACAGATGAGCGAGTTACGAGTAATACAGAATCAAAACGTACATATATTCCTTCAGAATTCATCGTGGATTATAGAGACAAATTGAATCATGTAATTCTAAGTTACTTTGACGTGTACTTTCGGGAAACGCCTATGGGAAATGTTCCCCATAAAACAACTATTTTGCTATTATATTCTCTGGCTCTGACTCTAACATGGTATGGACATTTTAAATTTATTAACGTCATTTAAAGGACCAGATTTTTATTTCCATGTACATATTGTTTATAGAAATATGATTTGTTGGTGTTAAAGTAACATTAATTAAAACATATAATATAACAATCTTGCTGGTGACTCGAAAATTAAGGAAAGTTCACCAAAACTCAAGTCCGGGTGCTTTTTGTTGTGTTTATTGTTTAACACCGCACAATATTCCAGCTATATGACGGCCGCCTGTACATAATCGAATCTGGACCAGACAATCCAGTGATTGACATCACAAGCATCCATCCACGCAATTGGGATACGATGACATGCATTTACCAAGTCTGACCACCAGATCCCGTTAGTCGCCTCTTTCGACAAGCATAGTCACTTTTACGGCAAGCCAACTCCGGGTGTGGGGTCGAATATTTTTTAAATGAACTTATGTGGTACGCTTGCTTGTGATGATAGTTATTACATATATATAATCACACACGGATGATACATTAAGACAGATGAACATCGGCACCATGGCCAACCAGGTAAATAGAGGATAATAAATTGATTATTTCATACTCTGTGTATATATAGTTAGTAAAGTTATAACGTTTCACTCTTTCACATATTTGACATTGGAAACGAAGAAGCTGTATGGCTCAATATAACAAGTGATTTCTATACCTCTTTGAATTACTGATTATGACAAAGGTAGTCTATACATTGCCTATATATATGACAAATCATGGATACATACTTTACAAAACACAATTGAATAACAGGTACATATTATATCTATTAATTTCATAATAATTATATGACCTGACTTCCCCAAAGCATCCATTTACCCAACCCGTATTACTGGTTCCCCAAAGGATGTGCACATTGCCCTTTTGGGTCTAAATAGGAGGTGTGCAGCTGGGCAATACCACAGAGGCATTTGCTACATGTTGCTTGTTTATCAGTGCAGAGCGAGCTCAGTACGACCAGGAAGTATATTACGGGTATGCGAGGCCACCTTGACTATACACCCGTGAGATATACAGGCAGCTAGACTTGGCATAGCTGAAGCACGAAAATTACTTGGACTATTTTCTCTCTCAAACAGTGCATAACACCTGACATGTTTGTCAGGTTGTCATATGTTGTTAACTCAATGCAGTACCCAAAACAACAATGACTGTTTGTGGATTTTACCTACTGACGTTCCTGGCTGTACTTGGATATCGGGTATGTCACGTTATGCATGTCATGTTAACACCAAATTAATTCATTTCATAAAAAATATATGCATATTTCGCTTGCATGTTCTATCAGTTATATTCAGCATAATCACTGAGTAGTCTGCTGAGACAGATTGAGACTAGATCACTAGCACTCTAAAGACACGTTATATTTCTCTCAGTTTATGCTGGCAATGTACGTAGAGTGCTGTTGACCCAGTTCGAGATATCCTCCACATGTCCACCCTTAAACCGTTTTAAAGCTTTATTTAGGTCTGGAATGTTGTAAGCTTGATCAAACACCTCCTGAGCAAGTGTCTGTGGACGCTATTTGAAATATTGGTTGAAAGAACATGCTCGATTATACCTTAAAAGTTGTGAAATGTAAACAGCAAGGCTGGAGCTGCAGGAATATTCCTGGTTATAAACGGAAAGCTGGCTATTGGACAATCTCCCTTGTCATAAAGTCTTGTGGATAGTGTTTTGTCAGATTTTTCTCGACTGGTAACGGTTAACCACGAAGTAGATAAGGTTCAGCAACCTCTAACTACGGAGTGGAGATATATTCATTCTGAATGTGGATTACTGACATTGGTGCCGGACTCCATGGACCAGATAAAGCCTGTTCACTTTCCAGCTTTTCTTACAATGTACTCTTTCAGCAACCCATGCTTGCCGTAAAAGGTGACTATGCTTGTCGTAAAAGGCGACTAGCGGGATCGGGTGGTCAGGCTCGCTGACTTTGTTGATGCATGTCATCAATCCCAATTGCGTGGATCGATGCTCATGATATTAATCCCTGGGTTGTCTGGTCCAGACTCGATTATTTACAGACCGCCGTCATATAGCTGGAATATTGCTGAGTGCGGCGTTAAACAACAAACCAACCAACCAATCTTACAATTACTGGCTGTGACCAGCGTACTAACAGGACACGATGTGAAGAACATGATGCTAGTCATTCAGCGTCTTGTGGTCTTAATGTATTATGGGGCCAGTATCTGTACTGGATCGGACAACCGTACAGTTTTTATTCACCCCACTTGGCAAAAGATTGGTCTAGATTTTTGAGAAAAAAAATGTTTCGAGCTTCCACGGCAACAACTTTCATATTTAAAGTAACGACAAGTATTTACCATTGCGGGAATATCCATGACTTCTTCCTCTTATTTTAATTTGAAACATCGCTCTAAAAGCACAAAATATAGTAGATGTATTTCCAGTGATGAGACCACCTATATCTCGAATCACAGCAGGTTTATCTCCTAATTCTACAATTAACTTGGAAAACTCTCGGTTTTCATTGGTCAGTTTGAGAATAAAAATCACACTAACCACCCCTAATTGAAACATAAGATTTGAGGGCCGCTATAACCACGAAAGCTTATATTTATAGAAAAAATTCTTCTTTCACAGTCGTCGATAGGCATTATTTAATAATAACATCCATATCCATTGCAAAACGATTCCTCGAAAAAATATTTCTTCAAATTGCAAAGTAATTCTCTATTTCAACCCGTCTTATAGAGTTCAATAGAGATAAAATTAATCTGGAATGGAATGATGCATCTTTTTATACATACTCATGAATACATCTCCTTGATTTTAAGGTTGTGATTAACAGTTTGAACGTGCATGTTAATGCAATTCGGATGTTTGCATATTTGGAGTATAATGCTAACACACGTTGTTAAAAATGTGAGCAGCATGCAATGATCGTTTAGCTATCATATGCTCATAAAAACACTTTTGTTCAACCGTAAATGACGCTTTCGCAATGTCACGACTCGCTTCAAATCAACGTCTACGAGCCGTTGGTTTACTGCAAACGGGAATGTCGCGAAACGAATTCGAACACGCCGGACCTTTTAATGTTCATCGAAACAGAGTATCATATCATCTACAGCAGTGCAACATCGGTCGAGGGGACACCATATCCGACCCCGACGGATATATCCGTTGCTTCCACAACAGGGACCACTAGCTTGGTGTAGACAACATCTGAGGTTCAGAAGACAAAAAGCGGAAGATATACTGTTGTCAGATGAGTCCAGGTTTCATCTGGACAGCACTGATGGTCGTCCAAGACTCTACCTGCGGCTTGGAGACGTTTTAGAGACGCTTGTGTTGACATTTCGAACAACATCCACGAGGCTCTTACACTACCTCTGTTTTGGGGCGTGTCGCTTTGTCGCGTGTCACTCCTGTTACCATGTCGCTCTTGTAACCATGTATAGGATTTGTCAATAGCTTTGTTATGATAAAACATTGATCAGACAAATGACCAATTAATATGATGCTATTTTCAATGACACAACATTTACACCACTTCAAATGAAGTTTTCCGTTTTCCGATAGTACATAGAAGCGCAGTTGTTGTGCTTAATCAGAATTCACTAAGTATCTCAAATGATCAAATACGCTTGTATTGAAGCAAACATGAAAACTTTGTTTTCCATTTTTGATCCTTTAGTTAAATCTGTCAGCCTCTCTGTTCTAAAATCCGAAAGCCCGTGATTGATATTTTGCCATACAAACAGTGTTTTACCACATTATCTAAACATTTATTTTCATCAAATAGCCCCTGTCATCTCTTATTGGGGGTTGTGCTTATTGTTTAAATGACAGGCTTTGTGATCCAATCACAAACACTCCTGAATAAATGCAACCTGTTTTACCTAGCGTACTCCTGTTGCCTTCTACAATTGAGGTTCCGAATATGACCTTTGATTGTGAAAGTTTGTCTTCAAGATGTCGCAATTCATCACAGTGACAGTGATCAACGTGACAACCAATGGCCAAGCTTAATTGTAGAAAACTCGAGAAATGTTTTCATATGTTTTATGTCCTAAATTAGAAATAGGCAATATATGATCTAACAACTTTCAGATAAGATTTAGGAGCATTGTCTTCAGATCTTATATATTTCCAGAATGATTGAAGATGTACCTATTCACTGTCAGTAATTATTACTTTGAATCTTGTCCACGATGATGATGAGACTGTGGTACCTAAATGTTGTATTTTCATAACCTGCAGAATAGCATGGATAAATCAAGAACATAGTAGCAAGAGGACACACCGAACTATACTGAAGATGCGATACAACAAAATGCACATGTTCATACCACGAGCCATTGGACGATGTAATATATGTTCTACCCTTTCAGATGAGCAATGCTGCCAGTACGACCACCGGTACTATAACACCTTCACCTAGTGAGTATTGATACCGTGAACCTATTGTGCGTTATATGTGTACTTACAGTGTTATATTCATCTACCCATGACAACAACAGTGATTGCTCTATTTGTTATCGAACAGTTTAACAATTCCTGCGTCAGTTCAGATAGGTCATAGGCTACTTAGGTCCTACGTGCACCCCACAACCTCCCAACAAAACTTACTTTTCCTGAAGCCTTAGAGTCTCCTGAACATGAAATCATATGTTAATATCGAAAATATAGGGATGCACTTCCTGTTTTCATCATATTTGTGGAGGTACCCTCAAAATCGCGATTTTGCATTCCACGTCAGCGTCATTTTTGTACTGCAACAAAAAGGTCAATAAATGTCTTTAAAATTGTCCAATTTCCATGTGTAATATATCAAAAATAAAGCTGAAGTTATTCCAGTTACGATAATGTTATTTGCATATAAATATAATGACAAGTTTAGTGGCTATTAAACTTTTACTTAGTAGAACACACATATGCAAATTCGCTCAACGCAGAAAACGGTTGCATTCTATATAAAATATGCATAGAGCTTCTACCGACATTATATAATCGAGCTATATCCATTTACAATGTACGACTACCGATCAATAGAATGAGGGTCCCCACTTTCGCAACTTTCAATTTGATGTAACGTGAAAGGATAAGCAGCATGGTGAAATGAAGTCAGTTTAAACTATCTGGACAGATGATCCGGATGATCCGGTTGTGCTATCAGCGTATTTTGTGGCACTGTTTCGGGAGTAGTTTTGTTAACGACTGTACAACCAGATCACTCAAAGTGAACATTTCCGATACAAATCATACGAAAACTCCGTAGAAGTGTGCCTTATTTCTGATTATGTGGCCCCAGATATCCCAAATGTGAACAATAACATTCCCTATCTCTAGTGTAAAACGCTGTGCGAAGATCACAGCTGTTCTTTCTTATTCCGGTGGTGACCTTGCCTTTCGTTCGAAGGACCCGTGAAGATTCCGGGGTAGAATAGGTCTTCAGCAACCCATACTTGCCGTAAAAGGCGACTATGCTTGTCGTAAAAGGCGACTAACGGGATCGGGTGGTCAGGCTCGCTGACTTGGTTGATACATGTCATCGATCCCAAATGCGTGGATCGATGCTCATGATGTCAATCACTGGGTTGTCTGGTCCAGACTCGATTATTTACAGACCGCCGTAATATAGCTGGAATATTGCTGAGTGCGGCGTTAAACAACCAACGAACCAACCAACCAACCAACTTTCGTTCAAAGTTGTCACTGACATGCAAGCAGACTTGACCTAATAAATAAAATACCATACTCATTCTCGTTGGATACCATTTTTACGAAACACGTGAACTTATCTGCGCGTTCGGTTCCAAATTCAATTTAGCGGTGTTAAATCTACAAGAAACCTAGATCTACATTGAAAATACAGTATGTTTATCTCCTAAATGGCATAGTGATTTCATGTAGGTGTTGTTAAAGAGTACCCCTAAAGGCTTTTAATGACAAACATTTGACAATTTACAAGTACTATAGTCTATATCCGATTGCAAGGCTTTTTTACTTTAAGCAAGCCTTTATGTTGTCTCAACAGCGTTTACACACTACACACATTTATGTATTTGTGAAATGAAAACATGACTCAGTTTCATCTTTAATAGTCTGGCTTTATATTAATTCGATAGCAAATACAAGTTGATTATGTCTTCAGCGGCCGGAAGGGTTACCAATCTAAAGTCGTTTGACAACACCTCCCGCTCTGTTGCTGTGGAATGGAGCAGACCACACCAACCTAACGGGAATATCTTTGAGTACATTGTCGACGTGAGGACGGACCTTCGGTGTGTGAAGCGGGTCATCATTAACTGCACTGGATGTAGCAGAAATCGGGTAAAATGTGCGCTAGATATGTACAAGATTCACTCGTATGTAAGAGTCCTTGACAAAGTACATTGTCCTCCCACTCGTCTTCATGTAACAATGTAATTTCTAAGACTAGGTTAAATGACCGAATAATTGATTACTAGTACTTGAAGAGAGGGATGTTACTCGCAATGGTTTTGATGAAGGAGACATGGGTGTTTAACGTCGTGTTCAAGAGTATATCACGCATATAGTGACGTGTGTGTGGCTGTTTGTGCTAGTGTGGACATATGCCAGTTTTATAGTGCTGTAGATACCATGCCTCAGTTACCCCAATACCGTATGGATACCACAATAGGACACATCATGCTGACTCCAAACCTACCAGTCTGGGTAAAAGCAAGTACTATCCTTTAACGTGTTTCCGACCAGTCCTTGTTTTATGCCGAGCGCCAGACAGAATAACAAGTGTCATATTCTATGCCGTTTGGGTGTGACGGGGCCGGGGACCAAACCACCGAAACCCAAGTGGAAATATACCAATCATTGGTTTATAGCAGTTGTTTCAAACTGTGTTCCATAGGTAGTGTGAAGCTGGTTCACATGCTGAGAAAAAAACCCATCAAATATATAACATCTACATGGTACAGCTTTTACAGTTTAATTCTTGTTTACAGTGAAGTCGTCGCAATATACTGATGACATATATGTTTAACATTTGTACAGACCATGCCACAGATGCAGATGGAATGTACAACAACCATGACAGTGGTGATATCTCAGACGGACATTGAAAATATCGCCCACGTCATACAGCACAACTTGACAGGCCTGAACCCAGATATAGTTTACAAAATAGAAGTAGTAGCTGTCAATGATGAGGGGCCAGGCACACCGGACAAAGTCTATTTGCACACACCTGAAGAAGGTGAGGCGAAATTACATTTTTTACTTATGAATTGTGTGTATTTGTGTGTCCGTGTGTGCGGACATTCAATTGTCGTGGAGTTTTTTGTGTTAATCAGACACCTATATCACACAATCATCAAACAATGAAAAATAACAATAATTGCTGTTCGACATCAGCGCTAGCATGACCACAACCATGCTTATGATTAAAGATAATTAATATGATTATTAAAAAGCAAAGAACATTTTAACGTGAGCCAGGAGGCCAACTGTAATACAAATCGTGAATGTATAGATTCCGACTCTAAATGCTTCTGTACACGCTATTGAATATGAATTATTGGGCCGGGCTTTCATTGCGCTCTCACAAGCAGGTAAACACTTCACCACTCATACATTACAACACAGATATATTTCAGCTGCTGGTGACCCTACAAACTTCACGGCACAGAGCAAGTCATCAAGCGAGATAACTCTGAAATGGGATCCTCCACAGCCCCGACCTGGTGTCACACAGTACAACCTAACTGTGTATGAAAAACAGGAAGAGGGCGAGGGTTACGACACTTTGCGGACCATATACTTTTCGGGTCAGTTGTTTTCGGTTTTGGACGTCATTCCTTTATCAATTGGCACCAATGACGTCATATTGCAAGGGGCATAAGCCATGGTGTGTTTATTATGGAAATAGAACTCTCTGTAAATGTGAAAAATATGAACCGATGTTATGAAATACTTTTCATGATGAAAAAGTACAAGAAAAATAGGTTTATTTTCGTGTGAACTTGCCATTTAAATCAGTTTTAAATAACACATGTTATCATTTAATGTATTTTAGTGTTATAGGTGCGATAAACCAATCCGATAAACACAAATTACCTACAAACATCAATGATGCCTACATACTAAATAGACTATTACCTGACGTTCCATTATAGTAAGTATAAATAGAGGTTTCCATATTTGTAAACAAATCTGGCTGGAATCATTTCAAAGCATACACATTCCAAGCATACACATTCCAGGTATGTTTGTCGTCTATTTGGGATTTATGTTATTAATGCTCCAATCCAAGGCAAGATCCCTACTGTAATCGTTTGGAGTATTATATGTTCCAATCATAACTCAACATCCAAAGGCCAGAATTTCTCCAAACACAACAGCAACATATGCAGCAATGTGAAGTAGTGCCTAAAAAAATCCCAATGCCATAGGCTCAATGACTGAGGGTGGATAACTCAAAATTCATCTTAAGACTGCAGCAATTGTCTTGGAAACTAATCGTCCAATGACTTCCACATTTGGCATGCGACCAAGGAATCAGATACCCATCAATTTTGCAGGACGTCCAATGTCACGAAAACGCACTGTTTAGCAGCCATATTGGTTTAAAGGTTTTGCCTGTCCGTTTTAACACTTATATCACTACTTGTCTTTACAAATCGTCCGCTCCGAAACTATCAGAGCAAAGGCTTCCAAACTTTGCATACGTTGTCTCCATGCACCACCCCACAACATTAAGTTAGCCAAACCTTGATATGTCTCTTGCTGGTCGCCATTTTGAATGCTACTTCTGGCTAAAAGTTGTCATAAACATTTTTACTTGAGTTATCATGTAAAGTGGATGCAGAAACTACTTCCTATATTGGCTACTGAACAATATCTGTTTTTCATCACATGTGAAAGGTTTCGTGAATTTGTGGCCATACTGGATTTAGTATGTTTATAGCCGATTTATCATATTTGTTGGGTACGCATCTTCCGCAGTCGTTCTTTCTGCCTCTATCAGCTGCAGTACTTTCAAAATGTGCTGCTACTGTTTATCTTTTACCGTTTTCAGATATTTCAATTAGTTAAGGACACATTGGAGTTTTTTTCTGCTGTAATCCTTCCCATAAGGTGTGCTATAAAAATTCGTATCTTCTCGTATCTGTCTCTGTCTCTTTGTCTTTCCCTCTCTATCTCTCTTTCTCTGGCTCACTTTCTCTCTCTCTCTGCCACTGTCTCTCCTTATCTATGTCTCTCTCTCCTATCTGTCTCTCTGTCTCCCTCTCTCTCTGTGCCTCCCCTGTGTCTCTCTCGCTTTCTACTCAAATATATTTTTAATCAACTGTCAGTGTTCCGATTTAGTCCACATTTTTATTTTGTATATTCACCGTGAATGCCCGTTGCACACGAAAAGTCCAAACTTGTAGTTGTAAACCCTTTTAGTAATGGAACTTCAAACAAACAACGACGAAGGTTTTTGCCTTATCCTCCATCAATGAAAAAGCAATGGGGGCTGTTTTAAGCGCATTTTATTGACTCTTCTTTCGACCAAAATCAGAGACATTGAGAATTGACTTTTCCGTATTCCAAGCTGTATCCTCCAATAAATATTAGTGTATCTTGAATGAGCTACCATGCATGTAAACCAGAATGCTAACATGTAGTTTAGGATCACTTGGACACCTCATCATTGCTGCAACTTTATACATGTTTTTAATTTTTTCACCTATTTTTGTAACAGCGATAGCAAAATAACCATTAATTCGATTTTTTTCACGTTATCTTTGTGCATGTAGACTGCTGGTACTACATCCCACAAAAGTACCATGCCCGTAGGCCCAGCAGACAAGAAATCAAGTAATTTTGAAGATATACTTTGCCTTTTGCGGACAACCGCGGGTCCGACTACTTTCTTATTTGCCATGTGTCTGCTGCCTGAAGTGCTTGGTACTTTATGTTCATTAGTCACGTGGTTTGGCAACCATATTGGATTCAAGTTTCAACAGTGCCTTTTGGGGACATGTCTTCAAAATAATTCTCCCCTTAATTTACTGAATGTAATACTTCCAAACGTTTTGTGAACTGTCTCCACACAATACACATCAAGTATGTATAGACGTTTTGGATATCCTTTTTAGTTGTGGCCATATTTGATTTAATTTTGATAATATGTTTCTCATAAATTAAAAAACCATAATTCATCTCTTGCAAGGTTCTTTACAGATAATATTGAAAGTTTGTATGATGTTTTTGTACCATGTGCACGCATTTTTTTGTTTTTGGTTGCATGTTAAAAGTAGCACCGCTGAGCGTTTATATTTGATTATAGTTGCATGTTTATTGCTCCCACGGAGTCCAAATCCTGAAGGTAGCTTTCAGAGACCAAAGCGCAACACACAGACTTCCGCAGTATTTATATAGATGTAAAATTCTAGACCTCTTTGCTGTCAATTCTATGTCATTACTATTGTGTTTATTATTCCACCGAGTCAGAGATGACTTCATGACCAGTTGCCCGAATATGTTCATATTGTGCATGTATATGTAGACAGTTGTGTTCTCGATACCACAAAAAAACAAAACAAACATTGACCAAGTGAAGATAATTTTAAAAACCGTCATTTTGATATCATATTTGGCCCTATTGCTCCGCAACCGCTTGTCGCATTACTTTCAAACGTTTTATGTGTCTGCTTCCTGATGTGCTTGACATTTTATGTTCTTTGACGTTGGTCATTTGTCATGTGATTCGGCAGCCATATTGGGTTAAATGTTTTCACAGTGTGTTTTACTTTGTTTTGGGTACATGTCTTCAAAATCATACTCCTCTGAATCTGCTGAATGAAATGCTTCCAAACGTCCTGCGAATTGGCTCCACACATGATACATCGAACAGGTCTCGTCATTATTGGATATCTTTGTTTTGTTGCCACCAGATTGGAATGTACTTCTGTACTTTTCTCGTACATTGTACATTTACTAAAAATCATATTGTTTCTTCATAGAAAATACTGGAAGTTTACATGGAGTCGTGTTTAAGCGTGCGTCAATTTGTGGGTGCAAACGTGAATACGTTTGGTGCGTGTGGGCGATTTTGAGTGCGAAATTTTGTTAGTGCTTTTGTGCAGGTGTGCGTTTGTGTTGCGTTTGCGGGCATGTTTATGCATACGTTTGTGCGTTCGTACGTTCGTGCATACGTTAATGCGTGCGTATGTTTATGTGTGCTTGCGTTTTGTTCGTACGTTTATGCCTGCACGTCCCCTGGAACGTGCCTATGCTGCTTGCAACTATATTTTGATAGAAATTGTGATTGTAATTGTATTTGATAGATGGTGTTGATTCAGCTAGCTTTATAGTGAAACTTGTCTTGGGTCGAAAACGTAAAGTGGGCGCATAATGTGTTGGATCACCATATCCCTCATCTTTGTTTACGCTGCATGAGGAATGTCATATTGCTGCCTTGTCAAGCTATATTAATACTACACATTCATGGAATATAACCGACAGATAGGAATATAATCCCAACAGGAATGCATTATCACAGACAAGATTATGTCACACAGTTGAGCTTGATTGAGTCCAGTCAAGAGGCTGAGGGACACCCTATATAGTATTTTGGCACGTAAACAGCAAACATGGAAGGCTATCAAACATATGATATATACTATCTACGATGCCGAACATATTTGAGGATTATATATGCAAACACCAAAAGTGAAATGACTCTATATATCAGAAACACTTGAAATGGTATATATAGGTATAGTGTTAACGTTGACAACTTCACATTCAGATGCTTGCGTAACAATTTGATCTGTAGAATGTGCTATCTGGTTATGAGGAATGTGTTCAGCAGGTTTGAAGACGTTATGACAAATTATAGTCCTGTGAATGCAAGCTACCTAGCGAGCAGATGGAGCGTTCGACAAACTAATGATTGACACTCACACATTGAGCTCACTCTTAGATGCAATAACAAGGTGTTCAGCAGGTTTGAAGACGTTATGACAAATTATAGTCCTGTGAATGCAAGCTACCTAGCGAGCAGATGGAGCGTTCGACAAACTAATGATTGACACTCACACATTGAGCTCACTCTGAGATGCAATAACAAGGTGTTCAACAGGTTTGAAGACGTTATGACAAATTATAGTCCTGTGAATGCAAGCTACCTAGCGAGCAGATGGAGCGTTCGACAAACTAATGATTGACACTCACACGTTGAGCTCACTCTGAGATGCAATAACAAGGTGTTCAGCAGGTTTGAAGACGTTATGACAAATTATAGTCCTGTGAATGCAAGCTACCTAGCGAGCAGATGGAGCGTTCGACAAACTAATGATTGACACTCACACGTTGAGCTCACTCTGAGATGCAATAACAAGGTGTTCAGCGGGTTTGAAGACGTTATGACAAATTATAGTCCTGTGAATGCAAGCTACCTAGCGAGCAGATGGAGCGTTCGACAAACTAATGATTGACACTCACACGTTGAGCTCACTCTGAGATGCAATAACAAGGTGTTCAGCAGGTTTGAAGACGTTATGACAAAATATAGTCCTGTGAATGCAAGCTACCTAGCGAGCAGATGGAGCGTTCGACAAACTAATGATTGACACTCACACATTGAGCTCACTCTGAGATGCAATAACAAGGTGTTCAGCAGGTTTGAAGACGTTATGACAAATTATAGTCCTGTGAATGCAAGCTACCTAGCGAGCAGATGGAGCGTTCGACAAACTAATGATTGACACTCACACATTGAGCTCACTCTGAGATGCAATAACAAGGTGTTCAGCAGGTTTGAAGACGTTATGACAAATTATAGTCCTGTGAATGCAAGCTACCTAGCGAGCAGATGGAGCGTTCGACAAACTAATGATTGACACTCACACGTTGAGCTCACTCTGAGATGCAATAACAAGGTGTTCAGCTAAACATACAATGCCATGTGTCGATAAGAGCGACATTCTTGGAAACCATCTTTGAAATTATGGTCATCTTGATTATTTACAGGTTGGTACTTTGTCACTAGTATTGAATACAATTGTCATTCTGGTTTAGTTTGGTCAAATTTGGTATTCTTACCTTAACACCAATATTGGTTTGACATTTTACAACTGATGAGTGTAGCCTGTTTTGCGCTTAAAAATTCGTATCATTGTCAGTATGATAATGACTAATTATATTTATATACAAATATTCATGATATTGCGTTTTGATACTTCTCTTAAAGGGAGTTGGGGACGATATTTTCAGATTGGGCAACTAAGACGTATACCATTGGCAATCTCTCCAGCTACTGGTCGTACAAGTTTGATATTGTAGCTGAGACAGTCATTGGTGCTTCCGCCATTGTCAGCAGCAGCCCTGAGAGGACGATGGAATCAGGTACTATATTTACGATAATTCTGAAGTTACTATGCAATATAAAAGCACATACTTTCTATACAGTGGTCGGTGGTCATACATCTTACGTAAGGTTTATTTCAAATTCGTATTATGGCATAATTCAATTGCAACGATGCAGACATTATAAGTTATTATCAATATTATAATTAGTTTTTTATATCAGACTGATAATATAAAGATGACTCTATGTCAGCATACTTAAAGATCGTGAGTTTGTTACGTGTCGATTCACAATTGAAACAATAAGTTAATCTAGAAATATGAATTTAGTGTCAACCAACAAATGGTTTTACAACTGTATTACACAACTAACTAGATTAACATATCAATACAAACTACTACACAACAATTACTATGGCCTTATGCAATAGGGTAGCAGTTCAATATTCAATGACTGTATCAAATACAAAATGTGAAGGCAGTGGTGACAGCAAAAAGTTCAGTGTTAATAATATTCACCTATCCGCAACAGTGGTCATGCTTCCGGGATAGGCCTAGGCTGGGAATCCGGGATGAAAAGTGATAATCACCCAAGGGCTGGAGTCTTACCAGCTTCCAGCGCTTTGTACACAGTGCCAGAGCAGTACAGTGGCATTTTAACATCACATAATGTTCCACATATTTCTATAACGCTTGACATCCATCCATACTATTCCGGATGTTTACGAACATCTAAATAAAATCCTCACCACTGCTTAAATTGAATAGTACTACATTCCTGACAACGAAACATGGACCAAATACAATGCAATGATCTTTTACCGAAGCTCAACAGAAACAATGTAATTCAGTTATAATCATTTTTTAACAATACATTACATTGCCATATAATAAATCATATCTTCAGAGCCAACTGTTTCGACGAACTTCCAGATCACGAAACTCCCAAATGTATTCAACATGGTCCGAGTGTCGTGGAAGTGTCCCAAACAGAAGGATGGACGAAATGGAGGGATTGTCAGCGCCAATTTGAATTACTTTACAACCGTAAGATAAATATATTAATAATACATTTGTAGTGATGTATTGTAGACCGAAGCGTATTATTAGCCATAGTGACGTATTCTTTTGTCACAGAGCATATTTACAGAAAACGCCTTATTTAACTAATGGACTAAAGTAGCCGTCCACCCCAGGGATTCGAACTCACGATCGGCAGATCCTGTCACAATGGGCTGTCTCGGGGAAAGTAGCCATCCGTGACCTCACAGTCTGTGAACCAACAAGGCCATAGTTCCCTATGTGATTCGGTTTCAGGACTTCATGTGGGGATGTTGAGGGTCGGGGTACTTCAAATGGGAGTTTAGGGTTTGCTTTACCTGCTCCTGTGCACAGGTATCTCAAACAAGAGAAAGGCCCTTGAACCTCTTTTGCAATGGCTGATTCTACTGGGTACAACGAAGCTTAACCATGTATCATAAGGCACACTTTGACATGCTTTAGATTCTTATACAAATGAGTACTGGATAATATACAGATTTTCCACTCTCAACATTAATTCATAGTTGTGCCTAGTTTCATCACCAGGACGCACATTCTTGTAAGGTTTGCTTCACTCAAAACCTCAACACGAACTAAAAGCATGTTTAACATGTATTGATTATTTTCTTTCCAGCAGCCGGCAGCATATGTGGAACCTGTACGGAAGAACATTAACTTATCAGCCGGAGGAACTGACTGCATGTGGGACGAGACTGTTACAGTCACTACAGAATTCTTGTACGAGTTCCTGGTGGGTCATGTGTGTAGGGCAAGAAGACGAATGTGTATTTTCTCTAGTTACATAGGATAGTTTCATGTCAAACAATATGTATGCACATCAAGAGATATTTTAAACCAAGTTGATATGTTCTTCCACAGCTGACATTTCTGACTACAGACTCACACACATACATACACCATTCCACATGACGATAGAAGGCATATTATCTATACAATACCATATCAATACTCATCTTCCGGTCCTATTTATCGTATCGAAGGTTAATTATGTTTAGGTTCGTCTCTACAACAATGGTTTTGCTGGTGCCATAGTAAATGCCAGTTTCTACATACAAGGCGGACGTAAGTATTAATATTTTTATCCGAATTTAATGAATACCAAATCTGACTGTTCATGCATCAGAGAAAGCATGTGCCGATGTAATACGATTGAATTTCAATTCAATACCTTTTGTCTCAATATTTGTCGTTTTTTAATGTACACATCCAAAACAACAGGCCAACAATTTAATGTCTTGTTATTGACAAATCTATATGTATAAATACATTTAATATAGTAGTTACATGCATTTAATCGTTTGCTTGCAATTGCATAGCACCATTACAGACGGCAGTTACAAATTCCGTGAAAGAGAGAACTGAGAAATCGGAGACGCCATCATTACTCATTTGTCCCCGCTGTCTTCATGATCGCACAAATGGCCAAGTAAACAACACAGGGTTAATAGTGTGTCGAAAAGACAACTGTGGGCACGCCAGTAAGTATTGGGGTCTTCCTCATGTTTGACTGTTTTGATATATTTAGTGAACAATGCACAAACGCATAGGTGAACTTTCGATTAACAACTGACTCCCAAGGTGAAAGAAAGTAGTTTGTGATCACATGTTTTGCAAAAAGAGTCGCCGTAGAATACATTTCTATCGAAATGGTGTGTGTCATTTTGTCAAACTTTCTTGAACATAGATATGATTTTTTCAAGTTCGATAGTTTTGCATTACAACAATATATAGGGCATATCAATCTACAGGAAATCGTCGCCAAGCTACTACTGTAGTGGATTATGACAATATGGCCAACTGGAATGAAGCCAATGCACAGGATTTTGATATTACCTACAGAGCAACAAAAAAAGACTGGCTTGACGGAAATATTCGTAAGTTTTTATATGGGAAGCCTTAAAGATAAAATACAAGATACTAATAATTACAATTAGTTCAAAATCGTTCAACCTTTCATGCAGGAAGAACCTGATCCTAGAAGTAGGCTGATCAATATCCGCTGTTTTATATGGCGAAACGATGTTTTCGGTGATTTATACTGGGAAAGGGTACTAACTTTAATCACAAACTTGGGCTATACCAGCTTTCATGTTTTCGAAAAAGGCAATAGTCCCGCAACATGATGTCGTTAATTCACCGTCTAAGCACTAATGGAAACTATGACCGTAAACTGTAGTCAAACGTTTATGTATATTTATAAATTGTAGCAAACATACTTAACAATTAAATCTATATTCTTTTGAATAGACAGGCTGCAAAGGGGCCTCATTTCAGAAGTATGCTGAGTATAATATGCTCATCCTTTTAGCTTGGCTTAGCGCTGATAATCATTTTCTGAAATCAGGGCCCACTTTTTTTCATCACGTGGACCTCTCAACTGAACCACATTTGTAAATCTAATCGTTCCATTAGGTTGGCTAAGGTGGGCTGACATTTGTAAATCGTATTTTTTATTTGGTTGGCTTAGCGTTGAAAACAATTTTCTTAAATGATGGACCACTTTTTATGCTGTCCAAAAATCTGAAGGCAACATGTTAGCCAACATTTATAAATCGGGGGAATCATTATATATCACATGTTGGCTTTCTAAGAACTACATTACAGTATCAATATTGTAATATTGCAGCATTTAAATACACCGATCAGGTCTATAAAACTTGTCATTTTGTCATACTTGATGTTTTAATGTCTCTGGAAACCATTACTAAAATGGATTAATGGTTTAACATCTCTGTAGCATAACCGTGTAAGACAAAACAAGTTCTACTTAACCAGGGCTCGGATTCCTTATTCGGGTATCTTGTTTCACAGACCAGCTGAGACAATGCTCTGGTAAAGCATCCTGTTTTTTATATAAAAGTTCACACACTGTATTGTCATTCCTGTATTTTGTTTTGTATTTACAGGAAAATCAAGTTTAATTTTCACACTCGGAAATGAGGATTGCAGTGGAAACACGAAAAATAGCTTTTGTAATGGAAAACTCCCCACAGGGGAAACATTTATGTAAGTTACAGACCATCTTGAATGGTCACAAAAAGTATATTTCATGAAGCGGTTTAAAGAAGTTTCAAATTCAATGCGGACATGTTCTGTTTCCTTCTATTGTTTTAAAATAAACTATTTTGCAACGATTTTTTTGGTTTCAGTGTGTTTGCATTTTCTTGCACGAATTATGGATGCACCACGAGCAACAGAATAGAAATATCAACACCAGGTAAACATCAATTTGTTTTAAACGTTGACTCCATGATGAACATACCTGTACTTGAAGTAACTATATAGTAACCGTTTTGATCGGTTTGATGTAAATCCAAATGACATGTGTGTTTCAGCTCAAGTACCAGTTGCTGTCGTGGTCGGAGGTGTAGTTGCTGTGGTAGTTGTCATGCTCGTTGTGATAGGCATCTTTATCATTCTGCGACGAAAGTGAGTGTGATTTACTTAAAAGCAGAATTAAGCTCTACAGTCAAACCCTGATTCTGATTTAAAGAAGTAAACATTTATGTGTAAATGTGATTGTAAAAAGACATGTAATCATTCTACAATGCTATTTATTATCTCAATCTCCTTATATATATTTTTATTATCATATTTACGCACCATTATCAACTGGCACAGTGGAGAAATTGTGGCTGATGGTGCATCTATTCATAACATTGTTCACTTTAAGCAAAACACACAAGTCACACTGAAACAATAAAGTAAAATGTTATTTTGTGCCATGTATTTTGCGCTACAAATCTTGATCAAACTATTGTTGTTTCTACTTGATGATATTCGACCAACAGACATACCACAGGCAACAATGTTAGCAATCTCTCGGTTATTCTTGTACCGCCATGATAAAGCTGTCATGTTACTTTGTCTTTAACCAAAATTCACTTTCAAAAACTCATAAATAAAGGCCTAAACGCAACTTAATAGTGTCACATGGGCCGTGTGTGTCACATGGGCTGTATCTGAATAAAAGAGAAGCCTGAAATGTCCAATCTACTGCCGATACTGTATGGCAATGTGTTTCACGGGCTCTGGAAAGTCTTCCATCTCAAATGTTTATCCCAGTGAAGCATTCAATGATGATGACTAGCATTCGGAATAAACCACACACCCCAACAAGTGTCGTTAAGAATGCCCCATTTTAACCTTTTCGAAAGTTAAGAAACTCTTCCCAATTTCATCATTTCCCGCACTTGAGATTAATTCAAAGAGCTGCAGATGAAAAAGTATTATCTTGTAATTATTACCAAAATGAAAGATATGGACTTAATTGCTACAGAAGCAAGATATCACAAAGTATGCAGAGCTCTGTTTGTAGCAGTATAAGCAGAAGGACAGCTTCGGATCAAACACAGAAAAGTTTGGATGAAGTTACTCAAAGAAACAACCAGGTATAAAGGCAGAGAAGGCTAATACCATGGCACTTCCGCTACGTAGGTTCAAGTCCTTCTTTGGACAAACGGGTATTTTATCGGAAAATGATTGTTCACAGCGACTGAAGATGAGGTTGCGGAAACATTTTCAGTACTCACTGATCTGCTTACAGCCTAATCCTTCAAAACCAGAACTCGACATATCTCTTCACGTTCTCTTCATTAATGCAGCTTCAAGTACCTGTAACTAGGAATCGAAGTCACAGAATTCATCCCAGGCTCTAGATCAGAGAACTGCCTAATGTTAATGGAGGTCCATGGATTCACGCCTACATGATCTGCTCATTGCGTCCAACACATAAGGCACAGCTTTTGCTCTGCTTAAAGGAACACCATATAACAGATGGTTGAGAGCGCACGAATTAGTTGTGGAAGCAACGTTGCTCCTACAAAGGCAGTCACTCTCCAACTTGGTTAGAGAGTATTGTTTATGCCACAGAAGTAGAAGGTCTCTAGCAAAATATAGTCATGCGGAGACAGTACAGAAAAGGATGGAATAATACGTGAGAATGTCAGAGAGTCGTGGAAAGACCTAGCAGGGATGCAGCAGTTGTGTACAACATTCTGAAGCTTCAGAGAGTTGGTTTATTACCAGCCACGAGAGGGCAGCCATTACAAGGGCCACAAAGCAGATGTGTGGAGGATGAACGTGTTGATTTACATAAGGAATCGGGACTCCACAGCCTGGGGAGGGATGAGGCAGATGTGCAGTCTCCTGTCTGTTTTCAGAACTGAACTCATTCTTTCACTTATGTGAATGCTGATGAGAATGCTTATCTACTGTTGGTAAACATTGCAACTGTATTTACAGTACCAGACAATATGACAAACGTGTTCTGCATGCTGAGGGAATTGGTTGGGAGCACATGGAGAAGTTCATCAGTGACTGGACACAAGCACACACAGCTTTTGATCACTATTATCACACATAAATTTAAATATATTTGGCACTCTGACAGTGAAGCCAAAAGATGAGAAACTAAAAGCTGTTCATTCTGACAGTGAACTGTTTGGAGGAGGAAGTATGGTTTTATGCCGTTTTACGCCTCCAACATTCCAGCAATATCACGGCGAGGGACACTAGAAATGGGCTTCACACATTGTAACCATGTCGGTAATAGAACCCGGGTCTTCGGCGTGACGAGCGAACGCTTTAACCATTAGGCTACCCGACCGCCCCGAACTGTTTGGAAGATTAATCATAACGTCAAAGTCTAGATGTGTAGATCTGAAAGAAGAACTGATATATGAACTCACCACAGTGCCCTCTACTGATGAAACTCTTAGAAAGAAATGAAGAATGTTTTGCTCAATGAACTTTGGAGTGGTGTTCCTGTTCATGTAAGGCTCCTTGTGTCCGATAGGCCAGTGTTGACAGCTTCCATATTGGCTGAAAGAGGTGCTTCCACATGCTCCGGCAGGTGAATTCAAGGAAGTTTCAGATACGGTATGGATTTCTCTTGACCATTCATAGCCTTTTGAAGTGCTAAGTTCAGATCAGGAGGAAGCAGTCACACGTATGATGTTTCATGCACCCAAAGCCTGAAGATCACAAAGGAGTAGGCATCCAGTCTCCAATTACAGATGTTGGTATCCTGGGTGTCCCCATCTTCCCGAGGCAAGGGCGTTAACTGACTATAAAAGTCCAGTTTGCACCCTTGCCAAACTAGGCTGGAATTTCTTGTCTCAATCGTAGCGCACACAGTGGCTAGTACGAGTTATGTCCCTCCTATGTCCCTCCTACTGACCAATAAGATTCCACCTCTCATATCATTTGCATTTTCCTCAAACAAAATGGAGGAGCCTAGGCAAGACGATGATCGATGATCAAGGTTTACATTGTTATAAAACGGGTCTTACTCGCGAAGTGCATCAAATCACTTGATCATCTTGATTAAAAAAATGAAAAATTTGCAAAATATCTGTCGACGCACAGTTGGCGGTATACGTGCTTTGCAAATCATGAAGTCAATCGAAATGTGCACCTTTAGATCCATGTTGTTTATGGACCGGATGTCTAGTTCGTAGCAAGATTTTGATTGGACCATTCTTAGACTCGTTAGTTCAACCAAAATGTAACTTTCATCCCAGTTGAGCAAGGCTGGAAGCTGGACTGTTATAGTCAGTTAACAACCTTGCCTCGGGAAGATAGGGTGTCTCCATCTCTGCATCACTCCACTTATCCATGTTTTGGTTCCGCACAGGCACAAAAAACAAGGTACACCACTGGAGGAACTGTACCTCTATTTTTGATTGATAATAAAAGGGTTCAAATAAAAACAAACCCTTTATTGTTTATCTATTGATGTATTGTTGCACAAAAAATAGTTGTAGCGTTGTTCTAAGTTACGGTAAATACATATAATGTAGCGCCCGTCTTGGCGTCCATCTTAGATTTCTCAAAATGTTAAATAGTCAAAAGTGACCTGTAAACATACATGTACCTAAAAATGAATAAAATGCAGAAGAACATTTTCTGTACTCCGATACAATGTTGATTTTAACATGTTATATCCACATCAATCTTGTGTGGATATAACAAACAAACACTGACCCATAAAAATAAACTGATACCACAATTATGTTGTACAACAGGCTTGACAACCCCTTTGAGACATAAAACTAACAGAATATGAAATAAAACCTACCGAATATTTGGTGTGCTACGTTAAAAACGTTTTAAGCTCCTGCTCAAAATTACCGCTTCGACTATAACATGGCGTGACCGGTAAAGAGATGTCCTCAGTTCTGAAGCACTATCATATTTTATTAATGAGATGGTGCCCGTCATTTTTCTATAGAACTGGTCTTCCTGGTGGCAGTCCTATATCAAGCAATAGCACATACAGACATGTGACTGAAATACACACAAGATGGTGACACACAGTACAATAACAACATGAGAAACAAAATGTCATCCATTACATGTTCTTGTATTGAAGTCTTTTACCATGACTGAACTCATTAATCAGTGTGCCCATTCTTCGATATACTTATAAGACTAACTTTCTCATTTCTTATAGAAATGCACAAAGGGAAAAGCCTAATAAGAACAGAGATCAAGTCATCGCCAATTTTCGTCCAGAACTATATCACATATATGACGAGATTCCTGATGCTCGGATGGTGACTGTCCACAGCAGTCGCAGTCATGAGGGTCACGTAAACTATGTGTCTGGACAGTCCTCTCGAGATAGATATAACACGTACGACCAGCTTGCAACCTACCCGAATGCAGATAGTCATGAATATAGAAGGATAAATATTGAAACCAGATTTAAATAAGGTAAACAGAAGCACGAGTTGCGTGAATAACTGACATGTTTCGGCAATGCTATACTTACAACACATCAGTACAAATGCCCTGGATATATATTATAGTTTGTGACAAATATGTACTCTATGTATAGATCCATGAATGTACATTTATGCGACAGGTGTCAAGAAATATGCATAATATTCTCAAAAATAATTACATATTTATACAAAAATATGTTATGAGTATGGGTTTTTTCTCAAGCAATTAGCCAGTATCAGACATCTGACTTTTTCATAAGGTGATGTGAGGGACAGGCCAAACTGGAATCTAGCATCATCACTATTTGATAGTGATTCATAAACAAGTGCCCAAGGAGTCGTACGGAGTTGGAATCGTACAATCGACTAGACCCAGACCCGTGAAGATCCGGGGTAGAATAGGTCTTCAGCAACCCATACTTGCCGTAAAGGCGACTATGCTTGTCGTAAGAGGCGACTAACGGGATCGGGTGGCCAGGCTCGGTGACTTGGTTGATGCATGTCATCGTATCCCAATTGCGTGGATCGATGCTCATGACATGAATCTCTGGATTGTCTGGTCCAGACTCGATTATTTACAGACCGCCGTTTTATAGATTGAATATTGCTGAGTGCGGCGTAAAACAACAAACAAACAAAACAAACAAACATGATCATTCTCGTGAATATGGAAAGGGTTTGATCGTTTTTAATTGCTGTAGAAATTACACACTTACCTCTTAGAAAAAGTTGGCCTATTGCTTCAAAGATGAACGACAATTGTAAGAATAACACATTAAAGATATACAAGCATTGTATGTTGTTATTGAAAAGATTTGTATTTAGTTTTGCAATAACAGCATGCAATATATCTCTTATATATCTTGTACATAAACAGATGTATTTCTACATATTTTAATAGAATCGCATTTTTATTTTAGACGTGTGTAAAAGTTTTGCATTGAAACATTTACCATTCGAACCAACACAGTTACAACATGTCTAACTTTGAGTCGTATATCTTTAGAACATTTGTTGAAATAACATTCTCGATGGTGCCTCGAAAGTTGCGAAATGTAACACCAACGGTTGGAGCTACTGTAATATTGCTGTGCATAAAGGGAAAGTTGACTTTGGAAAGTTGAAGTCACCACCCTTGTCATTCAGTCTTGTGGGGAGTTTTGTGACTCTGAATCATTGTGAAGGGATCTAAATATGAAACAGACAAGGCAGTTTCACGGGCCTGTTGTGTTGTGTTCTTGATACGGTTGGTAAATCTTTTGAAGAAAGTGACAGTTCGGCCGTTATATACGTTCATATATAATCTATCACGATGCGACTGTACATGTTTCTTTAACACTTATGTAACTTTAAGTATGTCATTAACTGTCATTAACATTAATTGTGCCACTCTGTGTCTCTTGCGTTTGTTTGTTTTCCCGATTAAACTATTTGTCTCTAATGCTTTTTCTCCTCTTGGTGGTATGTATAGACTTTATAGACTTGTTTAATGTTAATATGATCTTTTGTATTTTTTTTACGAAATATGGTAAATATTTGCAATTGGAGTATTGTAAGATAGCGTTTTGTGCCGAAGGGGAAGTTTTCCTTTTACGAGAGCTTCTTTCAGTATTTCTGACAGTTCCTAAGTTCCTATATGGTTTGACCCGGAGCAGGATCCGGATCATTACTTTTGACAGCACAAGTAACGGCTGCTGTGGTGGTCAATTGAGAGAGATATTAGAACTTATGTAGGTACTCGGCCCCCCCAATTTTGTAAGTATGCTACAAATACCTAAAGTACGTTTCTGAATATGTTGTGTACATGTAAGAAAATATGGAGTTGTGTAATAAGTGCTTTCATCGAAAGTTTGTTGTCATAATATTGAAGATGTTTAAATCCGAACAATTCCAAAACATAATATTCAAGTGTAATGTTGAAGCTTGTATGAGAAGTTTTCAGGATACAGAAATATAAACGTGTTTTTCTATGTTTATTTGTGAATCAAAACGTGTCTGATTTGAAAGAGCAACTATATTTTGAAACTTTGTTTCCTTTGTTCAGCTTGTACCGGTCTGTCAGCTGTTTGTCAGTCTGCCTTTCCCTGTCCGTGTCGGGGCATGATGGCAATTTGGAAAGTGAACATAAATTAACAGAATGAGTGCAGGGCTACAAGTATACTTAGGAGTCGTTCAAATGCATATCGTCATTTAATCTAAACAATTATTTCCACCGTCAAAATATTATTTTGTCAGGAAGCTGTAGACCAAAGGAATGTGGTGAAATACTATGTTTATTTGACAAAAAGATATGTATACGCCTATTATTTGACCAGTAATAGATGAATTTATGTGACATTCTACCATGAAATTGGAATTACCCGATTCTGATTGGTCAATCAGAGGTTATCAATCACAATAATATTATTTATATTAGATATTAAAGGAAGTATTATCGGGATATTTGGTGATTTTTCTAGCTCTTAGTCAACAATGCTGTTGTTAATATAATGTCATTCATACATTTGCATAAATGTTCATGTTGCCGCTACTCACCAATTAACGTGTTTGAACTGTTTAGAAACGTGTTTTCGAGTGTGTTCATGATGTTTCTTGTGTACGCATTATAATCTAATATTTGTTATCTTATGAACTACTGAAGAGTGAATTGAAACTATAATCCCTCACCGTCAGAATGTACAGGTAGGTTCGCAATAATTAAACGGCGAAATGTATTCCTCTCCCTTACATGGAGACTTTCGGAAAGACATTCATCCATTGTACAAAACATCATCTTTTGGTGCATTTGGTCTGGCAATCCTCAGAGCTCCAGATAAGCTTTTGGTGTTGTGGGTATTTTACCCATGCATTTTAAAATCATTGAGTATCATTATTCTATCCGGGTATTCAAATTTTTGTTACCCACTAGTTTTTGCACGTGTGGGTATTTAAGTTAAATATTTAAAAACACTATTCATCTAGTTCCTGCAAACTGATGTCGTGTGGGTTCGAGATCTTTATAGGACTCAAAAATACCACGATACGTCCACAAGAAAGTGTGAAGGAAAATGATCGTGATGTAACTGTCATCGTGGAGTTTGGCAAGGTTGACGGAATGCCCGTTTATAATTTCAAAATAAGTTGCTGATTTGCTAATCGAATACGCAGGGTTACTTCACAATATTTTGATGATACGCACAAGTTTTATTTTTGTAGCGTATCTGTAATGTTCGTTGCGTATTTGATACGCTAGGATTTTACTTTACTGCGTATTTCTGCATTTCTGATGCGTATTACACGCAGATACGCAGCTTATCTGTATCTCTGAATCCTCCATCTAAATATGAGATTCTGAATCATATATTTGACATGGCCGTTAATTTCATCCTTTATTTGGTTACATCACATACCTAATGTTGTCGTCATGGTCTGTCTACAGCTGTGCACAGTGGGTGTTATTTGTACAAATAAAATGAATACTTGAGTTCCCTCCCTTTCATCATTATTTTAGTGCCACGCCCCTAACGCAGCTGCGCAGAAAAGGGCGGATCCATTGGGTACGTATTTTGTAACCGGTTTTCTACAGATATACCAGATCACAAATTGGGCGATGAAACGGTCGATAGACAAAAGAAAACATTGCACTAAAAAAACTGTTGACAACAGTTGAAGCTTTCAGGGGTTTTATTCAGGGCACGGATACCATACACATATAGTGCTAGTGAAAACATTTTCAATGAGAAAATGTTTATCGGTATTGTAATATTTTGGTATTTTTCACATTCACGAAAAATACATGTTTGTAAAAACAGTTTGTTGTTATTTTATAAATATAAACAATTGAGAGAGTACTAATTGTTGCTTGTATCTTCATAAAAAAGAAAATCAAAACTAATTATTAGATTTAAGAAACAAAAATACGAATCATTGTCCACAGTGTAATGTATTCACTATTTCAACACTAACTAACAGGCACTAGTAAATATTTACAATACTTTTTGTATTTTCCAGTTTAAATATCACCCCGGGGAACACCAAAAATTGGGCTTCAAACCCTGTACTTTCTCAGAGAAAATAGAGCTAGAGTGCTCTTCTTTTTCAGGTTCCACATTACCTCGTTTACATTTCAAGATGAAGGTCACTTAATGACAATACCCTAACTGTGAGGTCACGTTAACTTGCTACATCATATTGTGACGTCACTTGTAGTTCACTAGAATTACTACTATGTTGAGGGGAGTAATTAATGTCTCTCTGCGTATAAAACATTTGTGTTGTACTTTCCTGTAAGGTGTCAGAGTGTCAGAGTGATATGACACGTTATGTGAGTCATTGCTGGATTGACTATCTATTCGAAATATTGTTTCACAGAAATAGTCACGAAAACGGTTTATCGTTTGTAGAGGGGATTTCTTTGCCCAAATGCCGCATTCGGTGTATTACATGCTTGTTGTATGACACGACATGGCTCATTGATATACACATGAATATGCCAAGCATTAACTTACAGTGTGGAAAGAGAAAATCCTTTTCACGGATAAATCATCGACTAACTAAATGTGTTTTTTACAACTTTTGACGGACACGAGCGAAGCCATCTTGTATTGTTTGTGTACATTCTGCTCATGTCTGTGATTCAGCATTTGTACTCATAAACATGATAACAGATGGATACAAAAGCAATGTTTGTGATTCTTTCTATGATCAAGAACAAATTCGTATTCGAGTGTGTGTTCGTGTCATTCCGTTCAAATGGTCGTGGCCATGGGCATGGACCGCGTGGCTGGTTGTAGATTTGTGAATGAATGAAAGTTGTGCCGCCGTACCATATGAAATGAAACTAAAGCAATAGTGACGGATTTATGAATTACCTGAGCAATATCTTAAACTTCGGCTAATTTCATCCTTTTTATGAGCCCAAACGTCACCATCACTTTCGGGTCACAGCTGATAGAGACAGACTTGTGGTTATCCCTAAGGTCAGTTTCCGCTGGCTGTTCCAAGAATTCAGTTCTTGTCTTGAAAAGTATTGCGAAACAAGTTCAAGGTTCAATTTGCAAGTGTATTTATAGACTATAACCAAGTATTCAATGTAAATATAGAACGAAATAAGATTGTCTTTATTGGTACTTTTTTTAAAGACAGACATGAACGTATCCAATTTGGAAAAAGGAGGAAGATATAGCTGCTGTCACTAAACTGAACATCCGCATCACGAGTCCAAGTGTATGAATCAGCGATGGACGAATGATTTCACACTAACAGAAACAAAATAAATCATGTCATGATAATGTCCGCGTCTCCCAACAACAACCGCACGTCTGTATTCAATCACTACATCATTACCGATATCAGCCGTTACGAATCTTTTCCTAAAATATCGTACCTTTTTACCTACCTATCGAGCAATTGTTTACATTGCTTTTCACACCATGCCATTTTTTTCCATTAAGTTCAATCCGAATTTACACCAAATTAGTCCTCTTAAGTTTAC